AATACAATGAAACGTGAGTTTACTTATATCAATAAAATAATCCGAGCTTATGGCTTAACCTTTTCATCCTGTTTCCTAGCAACAATTACCATTCTCAGCTTTTCTGAACTATAAGTCATCCAATCGATTAATCATGTTATAGATCGTTATTGGATTACTAATAATCCCAATTCTACCTTTATCTTTCCTTTCAACTTCCCGAATGAATGTTGGAGTCAGATGTTGCTGTGTCTTTCTTGGTTTGTTACTCACATCTGAAATCCAAATCCGCTTATCAGAATCCATAGAAACATGTATGACATTGTCATTTTCATTTTTTGTTTCATTATCGTTGTTCTTCAATTGCATTTGTAGTTTTTTTTGTCTCTCAATATTCTATCTACTACAGAAAGAAAATGAAAAAGTTGCTATAATTGTTCGCATCGTATAGTGAGCGTCATGAGAAACTTCAGAAGGACATATATGAGAGTTCTATTAGTTCCTAGTCAAGAGACCAACGTCCAATCTTTTTCGACACTTTGAACACTTTCATGATATAGCTGAAGTTAATCATAATAGAGTTCTTGATGTTCAGTTGAAATCTCAATAGTTTCCTTTACACATTGTTAATTATTAATTTCCAATAAAATTCAAATTACATTTTCACACGTTCATAACTATGTTTCAGATATTTGAAGTCTGTTGATGTCTACATCACTTGACTACAGAAAGTGATTCCTAATTTCAAGTACCTAAGGGAGATAGCTGTCAAAGATTATAAATTCACAGAGTTCATTTGTTTCAAATCAATTTATATGTTCAGCAATCTGGTCACAAAACCTCTATGACTCTTGTCCTTGTTGTTATCCCTATAATCTGTTTCATTCCAGATCTTTTGATCGTTGATGCCTTTTTGTGACAAAATGGAAGGAACTTTTAATTTCTGTGTTTTTATCGTAATTGGTGGGCTCGTTCAATTATCAACATAATCTGATCTTGTTTAGGTTTTTTTGTCATTGGTGTGATAGTTGGCGTTCTGGTTTACTACCACCTCATCGTGAAAAACACTAATAGCATCGGAGTTCACGAAGGTAATTAATATTTATTGTAATTAAATATTATATCACTCTGATCTAGATCTTGTTCCTGTACTTCATCCTCAGGAGTTGGTAGTTGATGCTCTAAAGCACAAGTGTACCGAAGAAAGTGACTTCTACGTACTATCCTTCTAGTTTCATTGATCTCAAACAATTCAT